AAACTTTTAAGATAAAGGAATGAATCCATATATGAATTAAAAATGAAAATAGGGCTACCAGTCTCAGTTACTTCTTACAGATGGAGCTGTGACATGTAGACATGTGACCGGCTTCTCCCAAGTCTGCCTTTCGAATCCCCTGCAGGTTCACCCAACAAGCTACTTAGTGAGCTCAACCATCAAGCTGAAATAATGTGATGCAGAGTGCTGCGTGCCTCAGGGTTGATGCCATCCTACCTCAGGTCTGGTTAGATTGCACTGCTGTAGGCCAAGTAAGCTACACTCACACACACACACAGGAATTCACCAGCTGACAATGCCTGTGGCTCTCACTCTCAGACAAATAGCTCATTGATGCTGTATGTGAGGCATCAGCAAAGTCAGCCCAGTGCTGTTCCATCTAAGATTCATGCGGTGCATCAGAGAGAAAGGGCAGCCAAAGAGCACCTCCCAGAGGTTTCTCTTTCCACATAATGCAGTGCCACACCTCTGCAGTGCACTAGTCCTTCATAGGCTTCTCTAACACCCCTGGCCTTTTTCCCAGCACGCTGCCACAGGGTCCCTTTACATTTTTAAACACTTTATTAGCTTAAAAGAAATAATTAAGCAAACGCTTTTTCCTCTACAAAGTAGTAAGAGAGTCAGAGAGGAAGGCTAGGTCACGTGGTGCTGGACGTTGGTTTTCATATGCATCATGGTGGCACATGCAACACTGCAGACCTAATGAACCAGAATGAAAACAGATGGACATGTTTCAAGTCTCTGGAAATAAAAGAGTTCGTCTTTCTCTAACAGGAAATTGTCTGGATCAGGTGAACGCTCAGGCGAGGGGTGACAGCTGGGTAAAGCGTGCAGGAGGCAGGACATGATGCATTATGTCCGCTACGAAATCATGATTTTTTTGTTTACGGCATATCAACACCAGCGTCGGGTGTTTTTACCAAGAGCTCTTGAGTCTCTCTTTCTAATTTGACATCTTCCTCTGCGCACCTCTTTCTAATCCTGAGGCTTCTTTTTTTCACTCTTACATTCCTCACATGATGGAAGTGTTATCAGCACGCTCATTTGAAGTTCTGGAAAACATCTGGAGCAACTGACTCAGACATTTACATTCTCATGAACAGCCCCTCTGCTACATTTCAGTAAATTGTCCATACCTCAGTGTTTGACTGAAAGCAGCTACATCAGAGAGAAACAGAAAAAACTTGTTTTCCTTGCGCACACATTTGTCATTAACCATTTGAGGAACCCATAAGTTTAAGCCTGTTTTTGTTTCCCCTTCAGATAAGGTGTGAAAAACCTTGAAACGATCGCCGGTGGTGACGGAGAGGTCGAGAGAGCGGTGTATAGCGAGGCGCGTTGGCCTGTCAAAAAAAGAGAAGGATGGTGGCGCAGTGGAAAAAGACAGAGTTAGGAGCAAAAAGAGAGTGAGAGTGTGCGAGAGAGACGAGATAAAATAAAGGCACATGGGGCTGATGAAGGATGGGGATGCCAGGCGAGTGGCAGAGCGGCAGAGCGGCAGAGGAAGACAGTGATGCAGTGGTAGCAGGTGGAGGAATAATGGATGAGGACAATAGAAGTGCATTAGAGCAGGAGGTGGCGTGTGTGGAGGGGAAGCGTTGCATGGAAACACTAGAATGGGAGTGACAGATGCCTACAACTGTATATACACTGACTTATTTCATGTTTAGCTGTAATCCGACATGATCCAGTTTAACTTCCTCTTGCATGCACATCTCAACTATTAAGCAGAAAAGCAGACGTTCTACATGGATTATTAGATTTGTCCATTAGCATGTGGCTTGGGGAACAAAGCAGTATTGTATACTGAGCTATAACAAACCCAAAGCCAGGGAGGCAGCACCCAGACAACTCATCCGAATGATTTAGTGTTTTCTTCTGCCGGTGGAAGATATCTCCTTCAAAACGGTCTAATCAGCTAAAGTTTAAACAATGCTACAGTAGAAAACAATATCGTCACCCACTCGTCTGTCTCTGCAACTTTTCTCCTCGCCGCGGCCTCCTGCAAATCCACACACAGGCCCGCACCCGCTCTCGTCTGGCCCCTGGAGAAGCCTGTCACGGTGAGTGGCCCTCTTGCCACGGGAGGATAAACTACCTGTCATGACGACGCCTTCCCGGAGAATTCATATCAGGCAAAAACAAAGGGGGTGCTGAGGTCACGGGGCATCACTCTTAAATTATTCATCCTCTGCTTCCTCCTTCCGTCTCCTCGCTGCCTGTCGCCCACTTTGTTCTGCCAGATCGCAACAAGGGCAACTGTCAGCCCCCCCTCCCCCATCTCTGGTTCCTGCGATAGAAAGTAAATAAACATTGTGGCGGAAAGACTCCCCCCCCCCGAAGTTAATGATTGCCTGTTTTAGGGGCTGTGTGTGTTTATGTTTACGTTTAATCATGTGGCGAGGTCCTGGAAGGCCAGCTCATGTCTCGCACTCTTTGAACACCACAGCATCATGAAATTTTAAAATGTGCTTTTCCTCCCACTCGTTATTTGGTCTCTTTGCGTGCATAATTGATCGGCGCCCCAGCAGCTGTTCGTTTGCATACGCTTACGGGACATCTCCGTGTAGAATGGCCTCAAGAGCCGGGAGATTCTAAGCAGCCCTTTAAATTCCATCGCTCTCTTTTTTTCTTTTTTTTCCCCTTCCAGAAACAGTTGCTCGCTCTGGGCTTGACCGATGCCTGGGACCAGAAGGTGGCTGATTTCTCCGGCATGTGCAACAAGAGCAAAGGGAAGCTTCATCTGGGCGGCGTCCTCCACTGGGCGTCCCTGGAGCTGGCTGCTCAGGCCGGGAAAGGAGAAGCAGATCTAGAGGAGGAGAACGTAGAAAAGCCCAAGATGTTCTACGCAGATCACCCCTTCATCATCTTCGTCCGAGACAACGCTACCGGAGCCCTGCTGCTGATGGGAGCTCTGGACCACGTAGAGGGAGAGGCCCTCCATGATGAACTGTAGCGCCATCTACCGACTTTCCCTTTCTTTTTAAAAAAAAGTCTCTTTCACACTTTCTTCATCAAGACATTGCCATTCACTATGGCACAGTATCACATCAAACTACGTCTGGCTGTCATACACTGACACTGCATAGTCTGGCACTGACTGACACTGACACTGCCATACCTGACGCCTACTGACACAGTCTCACACGCACACGCACACACACACAGACACTAACACACACACAGTGACACCTACATGGCACACATAAAGGAAAAATCTGTATAAGACAATACGAAAGTTGACAGTTAGAGCAGAAACACTAACTTTTAGGGACTCGTTGCTTTTACTCTCTCTCACACTCACACTCACACACACACACACACTCTCAATGATCAGTTCCACACAAATGACAAGACTGCGCTGACAAACACCAACATGCTGACAAGCAAAAGTGGCGACACTGACGTGACACTCACAGCAGCAGGTTTTTTAGCGGACAGAAGCTCACACTGACACTTGAATCCTCCCTGTCAGGAAAACACCAGGGCAGGGTGAGAATGTGTATGTACTGTGTGTGTGTGTTTGTGGTGACCAGCATGTTAAGGATGCCCATGCGGCCTGTCTCGGAGCTCGATGGGACCTATGGTGGGGTCTCCTGGGCAAGATCTGAGGGAGACTGATGGATCTGCCAAGTGCTTATTGATGAGCCAGCTTAATGCTAATGCCCGTAATGAGTCACGACACGTGTCAACAACACGGAGAGGACAGGGAACCTTTTAATCTCTTAATACCATCAGGGATCAATTTTGCTGTTATGCTGCTGGAAACAATCATGACTGACATAGCTTGACTTAAATGTAATGGCTTAATATTTAGGACGATTACAACAAAGAGGTATTGATTGTAACTTGTGTTTTTGTCCTTTATATCGAGCTCAGTGATGGATGAATCAGTCGACTGAACAGTGTGGAAAACGATTTTTTAAATTTTCTAAAGATACATATTCCTGGGCTTGTTTTTCTGGGCTTCTCTTTTTTTAACTTCAGCTTCACTGTATTCATCAATGTCTCTGCTGATCTCGATACAAACCAATCAATCAATGCTGTGCTATTAGTATATAATACATGAGATGCTGCCACAGCTCCATCTTTCCTGACAGCACTTTCTCTTTTTTGTTACTTTTCCCCCTGAACTAAATTGGCTGACATTGAGCCTCAAGGGTGTGTGGAAGCAGATTTAAAGCCCTGAACCAGCGTCATTTATTGAATTTTAAGGGCAACACATGATAGACTCGCAGTGCCGGGAAAGTGCAGCAGCAACTTTGTCAACACACTCACCCAAGGCTTCCGAACAAGCAAAGGTAGGATGTTTCTCCCATTTCTGGTGGATAATGAGAAGCAAAAAAAGAAAATAAATTATTCTTTTTGCCATTCCTCTTAATCCAGTGTTACCTTCAGTGTTTGATGCTTGAACATTTCAGTGTTGTGCTGACGGTCCATGTGTTTTTATTCTCAATGTGGGACAAGAGGTGCGCTGAAGGTAAAATGGAGACGTGTGCTACATCAGCCCTGTTATAACTAACAGAGTCTAGACACACAGCTGATGTGTCATAGTACCTTTGTTCCTAATTTAGCCCTCTGCACAGGTCTGCTCGGCAACAGCGTGTGTTGAGCATGTGTGTCGGGCTCACGTGTGCGTTCGTGTGTGACTAAAGCTACTACGATGACCTCTCCGGAGCGGCCTCCTGCGCAGCAGAGACTTGTAAAGGGCACCGTGCTGCAGGTCTCCCCCTACTCTGAGCAAACCTCAGTCCAGACAAGCCGATGATGGATCCGAGGCCGTCCGCTGTGAGCACATCAATCCTGCTCGTCCCGACACCAGCTCCCCGCAGACTCCCCTTCACATTCTATTCATTCCAGAACACTGATCAGCACACGCACGCCCACATCCGCTCGCAGGTAGGCAGACGTAACCTGACAAGGAGAACACGAGCGAGCCACCTCTCAGTGATGTGGAGCAGCTGCATGTGCAGTGTGTATCCAACAATGGGGGGTAACTAATACAACAATCTTTTTCTTAGAGGAAAAGAACTTCTGGTTTTGCCCACTGCGCAAATGAAATGAAATCAGATAAAACTAAAATATAGAGAACATACATCATATCATATTCAGCTGTCGCTACAGAAATATTTGTAGAGATGAACGTCAGTGAAGTGCAGTGGCACAGGGTGATTGAACGAAGTTGTAAATGTATTTGTGCACAATAAATAGGAGATATTGAAATAGTTGTATACATTTGTTCACATATATTAAAGGTTATAAGGAAGTTATGGTATATAATGTGAATATGAGTATAAATTCAGCATAGTATAGTAAATAGAATACTATATAGGAATAATAGAATTGGTTTATGTTTTACAGATTTAAACTCATTATTATTATTATTGTGTATGAGGACACTACTGTGCCAAATTACATTTTAATCAGAATATTGTGTTAGTAATGGTGAGAGGCTGTGATATGAAAACTGCAGTATTTATTTTACCTTCTGAAACGTTTTGTGGAGTTTTCTAATTTGCAGCCATTGATTAGTACGGTGCTTACTGTCACTACCTAAGTGCTTAGAATTCATGTGATCAGCCTTAAAATAAACACCAACATTGTATTAGACACAAGTTTCTCTGGTTCGTTATCTGTTTCTCTCAGAGGAACACGATGCTATTGATTAGATTTCTTAATTCTCCAGTTAATCCATTGTCTCATGTTTTTTTCCCCCATTTAAATTGTCACCGAGCTGTAAATTGCACAGTATGAAATGAGTTTTCTCGAAGACAGCATTTTCGAAAAGCTTTTCAATTAATTAACGGTAAATAACCAAAGAGATTTTTGCGAGACTACAGGTTTTTAGAATATAGTTATCCACAATAATACATTACATTTGTTTTCTAAGGAAGCTACACAGCATCACATCACCCTGCTAAATAGAATGCATTTTTATATATTTTTGTGTTTTCAGTTGACTGTGTCTGGCAGCGCTCTTTGGCAACAGACAGCAATAATATTTTGGACAGGTAATTGAGGTGAAATGTTATGTAGCAACAGAGCTTCTCCTCAGCCTCTCACAGGAAAAACCGGTGTGAGGGAAATGTAACGTTTCATCTGTGTTTTCAATGAAAAGATGATGCTGAACTCGCCGTCCTCTCTGCCACTTTCTGTTTTCGGTTCAACCGCCGGACACTTCGAGCGGCTGAAAAGAGTGCAAGGCAGCTAAAGAGCACTCGGGGCAGAGTCATCCCGGTTACAGCACAGCACCTCAAGAGGAAATCATAAAAGTGCTCAACCTGGGGGTCAACCTGCTGATGGGAACGCTCCAGGGCCCCCGCAGTTCTCACCTTGATCTTTTAATGCTTGGTCAAAGTAAGAAACGGGCTCATCATACATGAGAAACAGCAACTTTCATGCTTGTGTTCGACCACAGGGAGCAGTTAACTGACAAACTGAAAAAGCCACATAAGCACTTGGTCTTCTTCACCCTGCTTTCATTCAAACCTACAAGGAGAACAGAAGTGGTGCCTCTGACTCGATTTTAATGAAGATGCACTTCCCCAGCTATTTAAATAACAAAATGGCCTTCAGACATAAATTAAACTAACAAATGTTTACATGGCTTTAGCAGGAGTTCACATCAGGCTATATCTCACAAGGCTGCGATGTGCTTCACTGGGACTGCTGATGACTCGGCAGCTAATTAGCTAATTAAAACAGACCAAGTTAATTTTGTATGACTGTATAATTTGAGCAAATATGTATAAATGAATTTAGAGCCTTGCATAAAAAGATAAGATATAACAAAGGTAAACTATTGCTGAGTGAGACAGCGTTAGCGTTGACTTAATGAGCAGAGCCTGAAATAGAAGGTTTACATAAACAGCCTAAAGAATGATGGTCTTACAATGTAAACACCATCAATCTCAGATGACGTTTTTATTGACAAATAAAAAATGAAGTGCAGTCATGATATGCCTATAAACAAACCTGTGTGATGGATCCATACAAGGTGAGAATACATATT